TTAACACAGAGAGTACTTTACACAAAGATATGCAAAATGCTTTACAGGAAAGTGTAGCCTAGGGAAACAGCAAAAGGCTTTTAGTGAGATCTTTAATAGCAACTCATATACAGAGAATTGAACATTACCATACAGCAACATAAAAGAAACTGAATTCAGAAGGCATTATCAGCACAAATAGGTATATACTTTAGGGATGAATGGAACTATCTAATTATTTTTTAAGACACATATATGACAACTACACAGGCAACACAATTTTCAGTTTGCATTTATGATATTCTGAATTTATTGTCTCTAGCTCATTTCCAAACTGTCTGTAGCCTTGGGTTCACAAGAAGTTGTAGCTGTGGATTACAGCCATACAAACACTGTGTCCCTTCACTGAGGAAAATTCTTGAAGTATGGAAAGCTCTCTTGGGAAATTATAACTATATTTTTAATAGTTCTGATATACTTCCTGAGGCATTTGCACTGGTCACTCTAGGGTAGCAATAAGAACTTCTGTCCCATCCACCGAGTCAGCTGGGCTTTTGGTCTAATCCTACATTCTTAGGTACTTTAATAGTTAAAAACAGTCTGACACGTGATAAATTGTAGGACTAATAAGTTGTTTACTTGATCACTGCACCAAAAAACTATGCAGGAAATTGTCTGGTCTGAGAACCTTTCCATTTGGGAGCACTTTGTTTTTTTAGCACAGATCAATATCCAGGTCTGAACAAGCCAATAGACTGTGACGGATAAATTCTGACTGGCCTAACCTTGGGGTGGAGAAGGGGTTAATAGGAGTGGGTATCTGGCCTCAGGTCTGGGGGAACTACACCTTGGCCAGAGCTGCTGGGGGTGAGTCAGTGTAACTGACAATCCCCTTAGAAGCTGACATGTCTTTTAAGAGCATGATGTGTCTTCAGCATATTAATAACCAGCCTAATACTCTGGCAATGATACTCTCATTGGAACTGAAGACAGATGGATAAGGTGCTTTGCCAAATAGTTTGTTTGTCTTTTACAAAATTTCATGTGACCTTTAACAGAAATTTCTAGTCTGTGTTGGCTTTTTGTCATAATTTATGATTTTTTAAATCACATTTCCCTGAGAAAAAAGTCAAAACCATATTTTTCTGTCTCAAGTATAGACTAACTCACAGAAAATTAGAGATCCATCTCTACCTGAAGGAAATGCTTCTTTTGATTGTTGGTAAGAATAATCTTATGCCAATAATAAAAATTTTTTGGTAATACAGAGATGGATAACTGTCACAATGGTGCTTTATTTCTTCCTCTGCTTTTTTATTGAATAGTATTTATTGAAATTAAAATTATTTTCAGTTTAATAAAGACCTTTTTAGGCATGGTTCTCAATGTTGAATGTTTGTACTTTACTATTTACACATCTTTATTTCCAATTTTGTGTTTTCTCAACTCTTTTCTGAACTCAAAGCTGAGGCCAGTAGCACTCACAAAAAAGCGAACAAACAAAACGCCCTCCACTTTCTTTTTTACAGCAAAAATTTCTGGTAAAAACATACAGGTATGCAGGTCTCAAATAATAGAATATGTCTCTAAAGGTGAAACTAACCCTGAAATAGTCATATCTATTACAGAAAAAAATGAAACTAAAAGCAAATAAAGCCTGAAAGAATTAAACCTCTCTACCATTTGTGAAAATGCCCTATAGTTTTTGTATGTTGAGAATATGCATTGTTAAAGGCTGCAAAGTCCCCTCCAGCATAATCTTTCTCTATGTCCACTGAAGAATACTGCTTTGCCAGACAATATTAAATGTTCATTCTTTTCTAATTATTGAAGATAAATATTAGTGATAAGACTTGGACTGGCAAAAATAATTGCAATAAAAAAGGTGCTTGAGAGATATTTTCATATCTTCAAAGGATTCTGAAACTGATATTAATCCCATTGCCTGTGGAAGCCCATTGTCATTACTTGTACTTCTATTATCTTTGCTTTTAATTTACATCTCTAGGAAAGTGATCTTTTCTTTCTTTGGGATCATAATTATGATTAGACTTTTCCTCTTTCATGGCTAGACAATGTCCTTGCCACTCCCCTTGAATTTTTTACCAATATACAATTGTATTGTGATATCAGCAATCTTATTTTTTCAGTTACTATATTACATTATAAAGTAAATTTTGTGCAGACATTTTAGCATTCAAAAAAGCTGCTACAGTGAGGACTTGTCCATTCACTAAGAACAGACATGGAAGTTTTTCAAAAATTCTAATTCTATTAGTGAATACCACAATAACTGCGAGTTAGATCCAATACAAACTCTTAAATACCAGGCACAGCAACCATAGTGCACATTTCCAGAATGAAATTTGAGAAAGGTTTTCCATAAAAATGTGAAAAAATGTCAATCTGTTCATATTCTGAAGACAGCAGTAGTGTACTGCACAATCTCACTGGTATTTTTTTTTCTTGTTTAGAATGTTCAAATGCCAGTGTCACCTAAAGAAGGATCCTTCATACAGCTAACGTTTTGACACCCAAAAACCCCCAGATCTATTTGTATAGATGTTCCTCTTTTGGGTCCATCCAGCAGCAACATGGAAAAAATCACCAGTTCTGTGTCTTATTTTGTTTTGTTTTGTTTTGTTTGTTTTGTTTTGTTTTGTTTTGTGAATATTTTCCTCTGGAAGTCTTATTTATGGACCATGTGAATGACAGCACAAATTAGTTGAGAAAAGCTGCTTGGAGAGATCTGCACCTTGTGCTCAGGGGAACATATTGTGATGTTTGTGAGAGTGCTACCTGCAGGTGCTCACCTGAGCCCTCAGCTCACCTCCCAGGGCTCTGCCTTCTATGCTCATGACCTTCAGCGCTGGGAGAGAATTTCACAGTGCCTAAGCAGAAAAGCTGTTCACTAGACTACATACACCACAGAGCTCTCAGAAAGTTTCAGTTTCGCCTTAGACCCTGGCAATTAAGCTCCTTGATGTTTATACAGTTTTAAGAGAAGTCTGCAGAGAGACAGGAACAACTCTGAGTGGCTGAGATGTGCCTGTCACCGAGGGGACACTGCACTGGCATTTCCAAGGAACTCGTGGCTTCAGGCCACATATGTTGTATTTCTGTAGCTCAGTAAAAGTGGTGACAAAATCAAGTATAAACAGGGCCAGATCCTGGCTGCCAGGATGAAATGGAGACCTCCAATCACCTGGAGATGGTAAGTTATTTGGGGATGTTGCTATGTGAAAGCTTATGGCAATACTTATGACAGAAAGGGGCGCTATCTTCAGCAGGCACAGAAAAGAGAAAGTGTTGTGCAGGGAGGCAAGCATGAGAATGCTTATACGCTAAAAGACAGAGGGAGAATCTTGAGCACACATTCAGGGAGTGGAAAAGCTCACTCAAAATTTGGTTTGCTGTTCTGGAAGGTGAAACATGTTTGAATATGGGCCTTTTCACATCTGTGTGGCTGCATTACCCTGTAAGTACCAGATATGGAGAAATGACCAGGTTCTTGTCCATTTCCTTTATACCAGAGATAGAAAAACCACTCAGGATTCATGTCCAGAGCCAGGAGCTTTGAATAGTGGGGAAAGAATTCCCAGCTGGCAGTTAGATACTCAGCTCCTCAGATGGAGCAATTTTAGGTCCAAACAACCAAACAGTAACTTCCAATTTCTTACCATTTAAGCAGCCTTGAGCTTGTTTGGAAGACTTCTCTGAATTCTGTTTGTACATCTTTCTGCCCCAATGCAATGGGTAAGGGCTACATCACTGGTTTCCAGAGAAGGATTGCAATGATGAGTGTGGTGCTGTCCATAGAGTTTTTATGGATTATGCATTCTTAGCCATTAAGTAACAGCAATTTCAGCCTGGTCCCTACACTGGCCTGTGGTGAGAAGACACATTCCACCCATGTACATGCTTGCCAACAATGTGCTAAATCTTCAGACTCTGCATCCTCTGTAAAATTAAAAATGCACCTGCCTCTATGGGAAAAGAGACAAGGCTAAAGGTTTTACAGTTCTTAGATGAAGTAAAGAGAGGAAATCTTTTCCTACACTGTCTGCAATTTTCCTAACATGAGGAGTGTCAATAGAATGACAACTGCTCCTGGTCTTCAAGCCTATTAATTCCTTGGATTGCAGATTGAAATTGACAGGTTATTTCATTAAATAGAAGCCTGATCCAGTTCCATTTAACTTCAGAGAAAACTGGATTGTAATCTCAGAAGCAACTGGGGTGATAAATTCTTCAATATGGGCAATTACCCCTCAAGAAGTTGATGCATGCCAAATTCAGTTCACATGGGCTGCTTACACATCCTACTATTCTTGAGCTTTGCTCAATATGGAGAAAAAACACACCTTAGTTTTGAAAAGATTTACATTCTGTCATCAGTAATTCCAGCCTTCTAATACATTTGCATTTTGATTTAATAGAAGTTGAATATAAGTTTTATGTTTCAGCAAAACAATTTCAATATCCATAAAGATTATAACATACATCCTACTTCCTTCACTTGTCTGCTTTAAAAATTCAGTGATAACTAAGTAATTTTTTCTGAAAATTAGGGCACAGTCCTTTCTTTAGGGGTGTGTGTTGGCTTCAGGTAAAATGCCTGACAGTACCTCATCATTATTTCTCACTAAATATACTTTCCATATTATTATTCCTGAATTTTATTTCTATACAGACATACATATAACTCCTTTGCATTAACAGAAGCCCCACAAGCATAACAAGGATATAAATAACATTTCTGCCATTCTATTTTTATATGATTTTTTTTCAGATTTTCTGTAATAAATAATAAAGAAAAATGAAATAATAAAGGATTCTTAAAAATTATTACAAAAACCATCTCAGTAAATATTATTATTTGTGTTTTGCATTTAATGAGTTTGTTAGAGCACAACTGAAAAGGTTAGTAGAGTGCCATGTAACTATTGTCAGAATTTATATCACAGATATACAGTTAGTTCCTAAAAAGATTACAAAATATTGTTAAGCAACTGACCAACCTTTTTTCAGGGAAGGTTCCACCTCACCTAAACCAAGAGAAAAAAACAGATATCAGAGAAAAGATTAAAAAAACCCCAAACAAACAAAACCCAAACAAAACCAAACCAAGATAAAAACAACAAAAAACCAAAACCAACTCAAAAAACAAAGCAAAACAAAAAAACCCCCACATTTTTTTCATGTTGACTCATTTTATTTCAAAAAATATTTTTTCTTCTTTATATGCTAAATGACAGGCATCTATTCTGAGATTTTTAATTAAAAAAATCTAGCTTGCCATAGAGTTTTGGGTAGATAAATTCAAGGTGCAGTAGTAACTAAGGAAATATCCAAACATCTATTTGTGCTTCTGAATATTAACTTGTGACTAAAATTAAAAATTTGCTTTTCTTTATGCATGTTTCCACATTTTAAGGAAAAGCTCACTGGTTCTTTTTAAATTCCAAATAAAGCATATATGAAATTTAGCAAGATCGTAAATCTAGCAATGGTTCCAGTGAAACCCAAGGCAAAACGTAATCCATTTCAGTGTAACTATAAGCACTTGCTGCGATATGTTATTGCAGATCCATGTAGGACATGAAATTGAAGGAGTGATCCCGAATGACTGGCCAATGTGCAGCGTCAGCTGCACTGACTATAGCACAGGGTGGGTAGGGTGCTCAAAACACTTAATTTTTATGATACAGTGCAGTAAGATGCCTTGCTGCCTATTCACGCTCCTGGTTGATGACAAAATTCCACTTGGGCAGAACACTGTCAGAGCTAAGGTTTCCAAATCTAGTGAACATCAGATCTTGAATTTTTGTCTGTCAGGTATTTTATGACTTTTCCTACTGCCATTAACACTTAGACACTCGAGTGTTTGAATGTTCACACGTGCTTTGGGAGCTATGAAATCCTAAAAATGCACACTGATGAAATTTTTCCAAGCTCTCTATTTTTCATCTTTTCTGTTTGTCAACCTTAGGAGAGCGTGGTTTTCTGCTAGTTATAAATCACATCTCAGAATAGGATGCCCAATTCACAGACTCACATGTAGCAGCCTATCTATTAGCATTCATAGACGATGCTAATATAAAAAGCTCATGCACATATTTAAAAGGTAAACACTTGGTAGTATCTCAGGTTGCTGAACAAATGGGTAGAAGTCAGTTTCAGTACATGTCACTTTTTAATTATATTCTGGTGTAGCCAAATGGAATATAAAATAAACTACCGTGAAATGAAGATGTCACTCCTACACTTATCACTTGTCAGAATGACCAATATGATGTGACATGATGATCCACTACTGGATGTGAGCAGTCTCTGCTCATACTGGGGGACTAGGTTTTATTTTTTTGTTTTGTTTTGGTTTTTGTTTTTAACAGAAGGAGAGTTATTTCCAAAATCAAAATGCTAGTAAGTTACTTTCATTTGTCTAATCATGTCAGATGAAGAATGGTACCACAATGGCAAAATAATTTCTAGTAAACTGAATTATTTGCAATATGCCATCCAAAATCCTGTAAGTTCAGTTGAAATGTTGTATTATTTTTTCATTTCAATATATTGCCCCATTATCAATATACCAGATTGAAAAAAGTTCTAAATTTCTTGATGTATCTTGTATATTTTCCAGGGTTCTTTAGATTCTTGCTGATTAAAAGAAAATAGTCATTTCCATTCTCTGAAGCAATATCCTCATGCATATTTTGGTTGTGGCTTTGAAGTTGTATATAAATTAGTGTTCTTTTCTTCAAGATGTACTAATGGTAATATTTAATTCTGACAGCTTTTCTGTAATAGTACATTAAACATGAGATGAAAACTAACAAAGAGACCAATTTACTGATTGGAATAGCCAGTGGATGCTTTATTAGCAACAATGTTCTCTTTTCCTTTTTGATTGACCTTCTTGTCTGTGATGTTAAAAGCTGAGTAAGCCACTTTAATGCATGTAAAAAGCAGTTAGAGCAGTTACAGAAGTCTTTACATTACAAATACCTTCATCACTGTCATCATCATCACTCCATACGATGTCAGACAGTAAAGAAAAAAAGCCATAAATCCAATCAGAAGACTCTTCCAGTGTCTCATGAATGATTCTCAGTGGTTCTGTGCTGAGCTTGTGAACAGATCTTCCTGAGTGCAGAGTTTAAAACAAAAGCAATTTGAAAAAAGAATCCAAACCGAACAACTCCTTCAGTAGTAAAAGTTCATCTTCATTTTATACAGGACTAATTATACTACCTCTTTTAGCAGAAACAAGGATTGTGAATGTTAATTTTTATTATTCAAGCATTTGAGGACAGCTCTCCTTCCTGTGAAAGGCTTGTATAAACTGCATTTTACTGCACTTGCTGTTCACAGAGTGATTAAGGACCCAGTGTACAATTTGTTTTGATGTTGTATTCCAAGTTCTGGATCTCCTTCTAGGGCTTGGTTGGGCAAAAAATAAGTATAGATTTCACTCTAATATTCTTCATTTTAGATGATCACTTCAGTTCAGCCCAGTTTTTAATCTCAGATCCCCTGCCTCTTGAGGCCCATCTAGGATTCAGTCCCACTCGTGTTGTATCTCCCTGCTGAGCTCCTTCCTTCACATGAGTCCTGGCTGAAGAAATTGGGGTGAGTCTCAGGTTAGCTACACAGACAGATCACATCATTGTCATGAACCACACATACAGGATGGGAAGAAGAAAGCTGTGCATACTCAGGCCAAAATTAACCTGAGCTCAGAATAAACAGGGATGCAAATCATGGCACAGAGACAGCTGCTTTCAAACTCATACTCCTGTGATTCTGGTTCTTCTCTCACAGCTTTTCTAGAATTTCTATCATATACACTTGTGCACATGTGCATACTTAACTTGTTCTTGTTTTACTGCTCTTTGAGCAAGCAAATTAGGAAACAAGGAAGTGGTGCAGTTTCATCTCTTGAACTTCTGATGGAAGTGAGAATTCTGCTCCCCACTGTATCCACACCCAGGTAGTGCAGCCATCAGTGGCTCATACTAGTATTCCCTTAAAGGCTTTTCCAATTGGGATTTCACCAGATTTCTCTGTACACGACACACTACTTCAGAGGAACTTTCCCATCTCTGACAGACTTCTTCTTCTGACCATTCTGTACAGCAATTTTCTAGTTTCTTGAGCTTTGTACCAAACATTGCTTAGGAAGAGGGGAAACCTTCATTCAGTCTATGTTACTGCCCACTGTACTTGAAACTAAAGACTGAGTCATTGCCTGGTCTGTGCAAAGCTTTTCCACAAATATAAACAACTGAAGGTAGACTACAAATGTGATTTGAATGTTTGACCTAGCCTTGTTCCTAGGAGTGTCAATAGAAATATGTACCCTGAATTTAACATTATCAAGGTGGGAACCATACTTCTGTAGGTAAAGATTTTAGTAGGAAGCTAAAGTCTATTCAGAACTACTTCTGATTGCAGTGTTCTGACTCACAAGCCAAAATCAGGAGTCTCACATGGACTTGCAGGCTAAAAATCATGCAGAGTGCAGGCTTAAAGAAACTTTTTCAGTGACAGCAGTATGAAAAACTATTTTCTTAAAGTGCTGTAACAAAACTTAGATGTAGTTTTATTTGAAATATAAATGCATCTCTATTCATGTTCATTTTATTTCTAATTAATTATTCTGAAACACACGAGACCAGGCTGACTTTCTATTGGTTTGTGTCTGCTTGTTGATAATGCAGAACAAAGAAATATTATAGTTAATATTTTGTGAATATTGTATTATATAGGTAAGTGCTGCTGAACAATCAGACACATCAAATAAATTAAAGGTATGACATGATGCAAACACAGAGTTGTAAAGAAATTAATTTAATGCACTGCTGTGCACACTATTTTATTCAGAAAGATTGAGTAGTAAACCAGCAAATATTTACTTTGTTTAGCATGACATTTATTTGCATTGTCTTCATGCATCAAGATGTAGAGATTTAGTTTTTTCAAGTGATTTGCCACAAATTGTCTTCTCAAGCATTAGCCAGGAGAAGGAATACCTATACTTAAGCTCTTAAAAAGTAAATCTGTGACTTGACCCCTGATTCCATTTATACTTTACTCTAATCTAGAGGTGCTAAGGGGTCCGAGTGGACTAATAGAACAGACGTGGCCAGAGGTGTCTTAGCATAATCAAGATTTTGATTCACAAGCAGGGATGGTTTAACTTTGGACAGCTGCCTTGATTTTCAGTGTGGCTATCCACCCTCCTTTTACCCACTGGTTGCTTAGGGAGGGCTCAGTTGCTTTTACAGCCACAGGTTTTTACAGCTGCAAGGACTACAGCTATAAACTAAACAAGAATTGGTATAAATTTATTTTAATTAACTGGTCTATCAACTAGCAGCTCAAGAACTGCTTCCGCTTCACAGGTAGCAGAGCTGTCCCCCCTGGGCAGGCAAGGGAAAGGCTCAGAGAAGTGCAAGATCAAGAGCAGAGGAAATTATTCCAACCACCCCAAGGCAAGCCATCTTTGCTGATGAATCAGTCTTCAACATCATATCCTGGTCTTTAATTCATAACATCTTCATACCACACTACGAAAAGGGATTAGAAATTATAAGTGTCCAGAGGCAAAATTATGTGTCCAGTCATGCCTATGTTAACAGGCGCAAGTTGCAAATCCTGTTTAACATAGAAAGTTTGGAAAAATCAGTTTGGGACTGCGTAGAGGACGCTTTATTGGTATTTGAAAAATGAAATTTTGTATTCAGATACTGTGAGCTCACTTGAGGTCTGATGCAAGTGGCATGAACCTGGAAAATTATGTCCTCGTGCACAGATCTTCTGTTTAACTTGTATTTCCAACATTTTTAAGAGTAGTGCTAATAGTAATGATGTGTTCTAAAATTCTTAAGAACACCACACCAAGTAATGCTGAAGTGAAAACTGAGACTGATTAATTCCATGCTTTTAGTTCTCCCAACAATTTTGACAATAACAGGTGCTACGAAGTCCCTAATATAATGAAATACAAAGGAAATGAAACAATTCTAGTGTTAACAAGTACAGAGAAAGATTCAATTTACCTCACACACATGCAAATAAAGACAATAATTTCCAGAAGATTTGTATACTCTTGCTTCAAGAGTGAAGCTGAAAGAATGCTGATTTTCATAACAAACTTTGAGCTTCATATTTTTTAATTTAGAGATGTCCAGCAATTGAAAGCACAATGAGATTTTTTTACAATCATCTTGTAGTCAACATATTTGACTGGATTAGCAGTCTTCTATCCAAATTCTCATTTCTTAGCAAATCTTAGGACACTAATTATTTTAAAAGTAAGCTCACAATCTATTTCTTTTCCTAACATACGGTGCATAATACAGAATTTGTAACTAATCAATACCTATAACTAATATTATTATAGATTAATATAATTGATCTAAATTGTAATTAATACATCATATATCACATAAAAGCCATTTCTCTGGAAGTAGAGGGGGCAGGATTTTGCATTTAAACTGTAAAGAGGCTATTTCTCAGAATATTTCTTAGATAGATACAGACTTATGAAGTTTAAGCTTTTGTTTAACTTTTAAATAGGGATTGAGCCAACTTTTAAGTCTTAGATAAAATAGTAAACAATTAATAAATGCCTGTTGAAGGAGGGGAAAGGAAGTAAATGGTTACTGAGGAGGTTAAGTTCAGACATGAAATATACAATTAATATTGAAGAATTTAGTTGACACTATGTAATTACCTTTAAACACAGTTTAAGTTAAGATTATCCTATTTAATGAAATATACCTGAAAGGATACTTAATCCTTGGTGTTCCTAAACTCCCTCAAAAGCCAATGCAGAAAGACATTGTGACCTTCAGAAGGCAAGTGTCTCTCTTTCCTCTGAATTCTGTTTTAAGGTTACATTAATCAATTTCCAAGATACCCACTCCTTTCCATTGACTAGAAAGGAAGTCTGAAAAATTAGCATGGATGTGTCACCTTATTTTCCTATTACTGAGGTATGTGACATGGATCCTGCTAGTGATACAGTTTCAGATTTAAATCCTTGTTATTGCACATTTTGGCTAAGCATTTAGATTTGTAACTTTGCATTCATAATTAATGCCAGGTCTATACAACTATTCCCCACGATAAATTACTTACATTCCAGAACAGCACAGATTCCACAAAAATGCATTGCTATAATGTTTTGTTTGTCAAAGTATTTTATTACTTGGTACAGTATAAGAGATGTTTTTCAGCCCAGTAAAAATTCCACTTTCTTGTGCTGGCGTGTTCATTGCTGTGAGCATAATAACAGTTTTGTTGTTTTGTTTTCAGAGGAAACATCAGAATTCCAGAACTTTCTGGAAAATTATGACATTTGGAAGAGTTAAAGCTGACAGAGGAAGAATTCCAATCAAATTGAAGGAATTTATATATCACCCTTCTAAGAAATCTTATCCTAGGACAACTCAATTGAATTTGATTAGAAAATGTTTGTTAGCTGTTGGAGATATCTGGAAGATTATTTGGATTTTCCATACTAAACATATGCAAATATATGTAAAATAATTATTTAAGAAATTGTTTCAGAGGTGTTGTGGGTATTAAATATTTTGAAAAAAATCCCTGTGTGGTGTGAAGTAATACATCAAGTGCTATAATTCTTTGTAGCTCTCTACCATTAGTGGTACAGAAACAGTAATTTTATTTAAAATTTGAGAACAACAGTTCTGAGCAATTAATTTCTTGGTTTCTGAAGTCTCTCTGGCTCAAAATCTTAATTCCAAATGATTTAAATTCAAATTTTTAACATTAATGGTAATTAATAACCCACACTTAACACAGCTCCTTGAAACCAGGCAATGACAAAGTTGTCAAGTCCTGCAATTGGCATTAGGTATGTTCTTGGTAACAAGAAGATAAAAGGTAATTTTCATAAAGTGGCAAAGTAATTTTGAACAGAAAACCCACTTTTTTTCAATCAGAACCGATAATGGGTACTTTAAAAGTGATGTTTGGATACAAGAATTGAGTAATCACATGGTATGATTTGCTGTAGCCTCTCAAGCAAATTTGGTTATGTTTAATAGTCTGTGTCATTTATTCCTGTGAAGTGCACAACAAAAAGTGATTAACTGATTATCTGTGCAAATCACTTCAGTCATTATTCGCATCTTAGTCACTCTGCCAGAAATGTAGTTTCCTATCAATCTTTTTTGCCTGTCAAATGGTTAAATGTATGCTCGGAGTTTAACCTATGTTAAGGTGGCCTTTTTTTTTTTTAATGAATCGCAGCAAATTAGTTAATAATTGTTGGATTTTTATCAATTACATATTTTGACTCCGGTGAATTGAATGCAATTAAGTTACAAATTATGGTAATTATCTGGTGCAAAGATTGATCTATGAGATATAAACTACTTCATTGACACTGACAAGGTACAGCTGATGAAGACAGAGAATTTGTGTTGAGTTTGATAAAATATAAAAGCCTAACACTAGCTTGTAGCAATAAAACATATTCTATTCATAGTAAAATATTCAATTATAAATATAGAGCCCTATATTTTAAGTTGGAAGTTTATATATTTGTATGTTTCTTTCTGCTCTGTGATCTTTTGAAAAGTAGCATCTAAGATACTGAACTCAATATACACATAGTCCTCTATTAGTAACATTCCAGTTTATCAACAAAACTGTCCTTAGGTCTTACTGTTAGTCTGTTTCATAGACTAACAGTTTTGTCAAGCTTATAGCTCTAAGCCATAAAGAGGTAAAATTCTGGTTGAACCCAGTGAATTATTAATATAAAAATACTAATTGAATTTTTAATTATATTATATTTAAAAACTGTCCCAAAAGCGCAGAGTCAGCTTTCTCAGTAATTTCTGTTTAATCAGTACAGATACTGTAAATATTAAGGCTACAGCCTGTAGCTGTCTCTTTCTGATATCAACCTTAGATAATTCTATTGAGGTCAAGTTCATAGAAGAAACCTCACCTGAAAGTGAACAAAGAAGCAGTTATAACTAGAATTTACTTGCCAAAATTTAGAAAGAAATTCACAAACTTTCAAAAAGTAATCGAGTAATTTCAGGTCCATTTGATATAGCCATACGTGTGGATAGGAGCGTATGTTTAAGGTGGCTTTAAGTGTAGTTTATATGACTTGATTTAATATCAGCTGGAAGGTTTTGATTCAGATCTTCATTGGGTGGTGTTTTCTGAAACACATTTTATCTAAAATAATTTGAAGCTTTATTTTTTCTCATTCTATGGATTCAGTTCTCTGGCTAAGAACACATCTTCAGATTGGTAAGGGCATCTGTAATGCCCTTTAAAGGACATTAGAAGTGTAAAATTAGTGCCTCAGCTTGACACCATTTCCTGGGACTCTCCTTGCTGGGGGCATCTCTTAGCTGTCAGATCTATTTCGAGCATGACGAGAGAATGAGGAATAGGCTGTTGCAAGCCCCAGCCCGGCGGAGTTGGGGTTAGCTGAGAAGCAGTGCTGCCGTGTGCTGGCCTCTGCTCTTGCCCATGCTTTGTTATCATCCACACACATATTCAGAACACTGCAGGCAGAAGGTCTTTACCAGGTGGGAAACAGGGATCATCGCAATGTTGTGCATAGGTGGCTATACCTGATGGCAACAGCATGAACCCCAGAAAGGTCAACAAAAAAAACGAAGAAACACCATTAGCAATAATGAATGTTCTCAGCTGTCTCTTGGCTAAAGGAAGGACTTAAGGAGTGAAGTGAGGAGTTGTTTAATCTCTGTGGGACTCCTGCTATGTGGCAGAAATTTGGGTTCATTAAAAAGGGAAACAATACGCTGTAGGTGTGAGATAATACAGTGTGAATCACAGCAAGGTAAAAATGTGGTCAAACGAAGTACAGTATTTTCACAAGTCACAAATTCTATTGCTGAAAAGAATATATTATATATAGGTGATTCTAGTTGAGTTACTTCAATTCCTTCAATAGCAAATAACCAAAGAATTGCATCACTGCAGTTGTTACTGGAATGAAATACTGGTTTGATTTGTTTGTTTAAAATTAGAAATTTCACAGATACCATTATGCACTGGAAATTTGCTTTGTGTTTTGTGTCCCATGAAGCATATTTAAGCATGAATTCTCCTCTTAGATCCTTCTCTATACATTGAGACAGTTTCTGGAATTTCATATTTTCAACTGCATAACCTTGCAAAGTTTAATCTATCAAAATTTATTTATCATCTTTTATACACTGGACCTTTTGGGATGAAAGCAGCACTTGCAATACTGCAATAGTTCATAGATTGTCGTCCTTTTCAGTATAAACTCATTTTCTAGGGGTTTATAACTCAGCTATGAAATCTGCTGCAGACTGAAACATGAGAAACCAGATGTCATCTGAGCAGCCCTTCTTTAAACTGGAATTGGGCTTAAATCCCTTCAAAGGATTTTTTCATAGATGAGAGAAAAAATGTTTTGTAGGTTTTAGGTACGTTAATTGAAGTCTTATATAATTCAATTAAGAACTTCATTAAGAACTTTGAAACAGATAAGCTGTTCAATCATGCTTTGAATTTACATTTATAAGTACAGTATAAAATATATTTTGGAAGACTATAGCACTGTTTTGATACATTTCAGAGTAGGAAGTTTGTCTAAGGCTTTGAATGTTTGAAAAAGAGAAAAAATTGTATGTTCCATGAAGTTTGCTGGTGGTTCAAACTAATCCAGAAGTTCATTCTTTTTCCTGATTAAATGCAAATATATATTCAGTTTAAAAACTGGTGTGTGTATATAGTCATAAAACACAGGAGCAAAAATACCTACACTCTTCTTTTTGCAGTTTTTAACACTTTCCAGTGAACATTAGCCCAACAGGGTTACTGCAGTGAGAAGATATTGCAGAGGAAATACATATGTGTATATTCCTTATAATGTTTACATACTCCCCAAGGCCAGACAAAATCCATCTGTGACTGCAAGGCAGCAATCAAAGTGACCACAGGTTTAGGCAAGAAAATGGTGACTTCAGGCTGTTATTCAGAAGCTACTATGGGAAGCCCCACAACATTTGGTCAGATATTTTGCGTTAACTTAAAAAGATTAGAGATATATAATGAAAAAAAGCATCTGATTGGATGGGGGCTTCATGCACTGTTGACTTCCCACTCCTAAAGGCATTACCTCCACAAAGGTCTGCCTTTGCTACAGGTCTCTAAAAAGCCTCTTTATTTGAGCAAAACAAACTATCCCCAACACAGAGCGTATCCATGGGGTTTTTTACTTATCAAAACAACATAGCAAGCTCATTCTGCTAAGTGTGTCTGTGTGTGTTTTCTATGTTTTCACCTCTACTATTTTGTAGGTAATTTTGGGTTTATAGATTTGGTGAGGCTTCATTAGGTTTGATTTAGTCTGGCCTTTAGGTGACTGGCTAAATCACTGTCAATTTACTCTGAATATTGAACACCCTGGATCTGAAATTAGGGGGATGTTAATTAGCTGTAATTGGTCACAGAGATGGCAGGGAATTTTGAATGCTCTATTAGCCCATTAGCAAATATAAATTCCTGGGCAATCAATCTTAAGGACTAAAATAATCTTAAATTATTGAGTTGCATTTACCAATTAAAATGTATAATCCAGTTATGTGTACAAGAAATGCATGAAATACATTCATGAATTATGAAGCCTGTTAAAAAGATGTGTTTTCTAACACAAAGGCTGGAAGTAATGAACTGTTGCAAAGCACACATAAAACCAAAATTCATTTCTGAAAATATTGAAAATACATGGGATTTTTCAATGTGGTATACTAATTCCATATTCATGGAATTAGTACACACTTTGTACTGCATTAGAGTTGTAGTTTCTTCTCTCAAGTTTTTGTAAAGCATGTCACCTTCATACCGTGTTAGAAATATTTCAGTCATGTTCATAGTTGTACAATACAGCATGATAGGAATGCAAGCTTTCATTTGATTCCTCAGAAGAATGAGCATAATACACTAAAGCACAACACTGCAAAATTTAATTTCCTTCTTCTGGGTAGATAGAACAGGGGTGAAACTTTCAGTACAGATCTCATTCTTGTCTTATAATTTCCTTGAAATCCACTGCTAAAGTTAAGGCTGATTTATAGATTCTATTCCTGTCCTAACTTCTGAACAAACTGGCACATAACCAACCAGGAAGCAAAGCTTTACATGTGCAAACTGTGACACAGGGCCCCCTGTTATATTTTATGCCATAACCGGCACCTCCTCAATAATACAGAGCACTGTAGAATTTACAGCCATCATATTCCTGATATGTAAAATTACACAAAACTGTATTTGAAATCTTGCTGTGAGCAGACCTTGAATTCATATAATCTAACTACACTTACCTAAACCCTAGGTGTTAACCTCCCTCAGCCTCCCTCAGTTCCATAAGCTACTTTACAAATGCTGAATAAAGAGGGCCAGCAAAAACTAATTTACCACACCTACTTTATGATGAAACTAAACATCTCTATTTTCATATCATTCCAGGACAAATTTCAGCTTATATAAATTGTCAAAATTTCACAAATTTCATAGTTTACTGTTAAAAGGATATGAAACCATAGCAGTCAAGAAGCAAATCTTAAGGATTGACACTCTAATCACAGAGGTTAGTATGAAGTTCATACTGATAAATTAAAATATATAAAAGCTAAAATAGATATACTGATAATTTATGTATTTTTTGAATTATTTGCCTTTCAGGAAATGAGAGTAAAATTGTTAATTATTGAAGGAAAAGAAAGTTCAGCTTTAAGTTTAAAGTACTTCCTACTCAGGTCATATGTAGTGTTTTTAGTGAGCTCCATGAATCTCTGTGTACTCTAGGCAACTCATAATCTAGGGCATTGCACTTCCTGTATTTTTCAGAGGTTAGCAGCTCTGTAATGCAATCAGGGAGAAAAAAAATCCATGTCTATTCCTCAGCCACACAGTTCCCTGAGTCGTTTACCAGGTCAGCCTGCTCCTGCTTTCTGCTGTGCTCACTCTGTGTGGCGCAGTCACTGCTGCAGCTCTGCCATGGAGACGGTCATTTCTGGCACAGAAACGTAGTGAAAGTCCCTGTGGGAGCCCCTAGATCAGAATCCTCTGTCAGCTCTGTAACTGCCCTTTAAAAAGGGCTGCTCCTCGGTCACCCTCCTGTCTCCTCTAGGCTGAGTTCAGCCCTCTCAGCCTGCCTCATTCATATGCTGTGCATAATTTCTGAACATGAACTTCATGGAACTTCAGGTAGAGAAACAGGAGAGATTGAAAGTGCTGGCTTATGAAAGGCAAGTGTTCTTTGAGGAGAAATACACTGTTTTTTCCTGTGGTTTATGGATTTTAAAAGCACACACTTGAATATAATTTTTGGCATCTTTCATTTGCATTTGAAAACCAGGGAATTAATTTTAATCTTGCTTGCAAAGCTGAATTTACAGTCCTGAATATAACTATTTATTCTTTTGTATAGGTCTGGTTTTTCAAAGAGCAATATCAAACCCAAGACAAAAAAATTAGTGGGTTTTAGATTTAAGGAGCCACTTAGAAATATGCCCCAAATTCTACTTTCTATATGAAAAGGAGGCATTACTTCCACTATAGGAAAACTGTCCAAAAGTGAAAATCATTCCTGTACCAATAATGCCAGCTATGTGATTCTATGTATAATGTTCAGCTATGTCCATGGTATTTTTACAAATCACTGGGTTTAACTAAAATAAAAACAGTAAGAAACCAGGAGTGGAAACTTAAGGGTTATGATTACAGCTATGCAACTATTCTTATATGTATGTAAATACAGGAAACAGTCTAAAAATCCTGGTCTAAAAAAGAACAGCAGTTCTGTCTCTTAATGTTTGACCATCAAGACCTGATTTGAATGCTGGCTTAATTAATCACTTAGGAACAGAAATATTGCTGGGAAGGAAAAGAAACAAACTCATGAACTCCAGATACTGAAGTATCTCTTGGAGACCTTCACAAAATAAAAACTCATCCTGCAGATTAAATTTAACATTGCTTTATTTCTACATCCTGGTCTGAAAATGACAGTTTCCATCAACACTTGTGAGATTTAGGCTCATTTAACCAGTACAATATGAACCTACTTAGAAAGTTTCCTTCAGACTCTGGTACAGATACAGATTCTTATTGCTTAGCATTACCATGACTAGTTTATTGAGCATGTTCAGCAAGTTCAGATATTTCTGAGTTTAAGAGTTTCATCTGAGTTATCCCTTGATTCTTGACTGTTCATTGAAAATGTATTAAGAACTTGATTAACTTGACTGATTGATTGACTGATTAATATTTAATATGGAAAACTGAAGTTGAATATAACAGTTTCTCTTAGTTTGTCTCTCTGTTGTAGCATCAAGTGTTTGGTGTCCAAACTGAAATCTGATGCTTATTTTGGAAGGATGTCTCAAAAATAACTTTATGTTTTCCTGGTACTCCAGAGATGTCCTTCTGAAATCAAAGACAGATGAGAAGAAAATTTAAGAAAGTTTTGTGGTATATTTTGTCCACATTTCAAGCTCTGTGACATCTATTGATCTGGGATTTGTTGGTCTCTTTCAAGATCTATATGTGTTTCAAAAGCTTTCTAAGTAAATCTTGAAGTCGATATTGATATATAGCACTATATATAGCAGGACAAAAAAAATCTATGAATTTATCAGTAAACTAATAAAGTCCAGGAAATTTACTCCAAAACATCAACTCAATTTCTTTTGAATTAAAAGGCTGAAATGCGAATTTCAATTCCTAGTTAATTATTGCGACAGATGTGATAAATTCAGAACTGGAGTTCTCATTTAAGGAAGACAAGGACCCTAATAATTTGTTTTCTGGTTCACATGCGCGTTTCCCAAATGTTAACGGCTGTTAGCCTCACAAAGGTTTTACTACTGAAGGTCTGCTGAACACTACATACCCTTTACAAACATAGGTAGTTAATTTATTTTCATAATTTATACATCACTGCCAGATAAAAGGTATAAACTTTCTATTTCTTTCTATTTGCTGCACTTTTTTTTTCTGCTCCTCAATTAGAATCACAGTCCTTGTACCACCCACTTCATTTTCATCTTTGTCCCGTAAAATCAATAGGTACCCTAAAGTTTGATCTTGTTCTTTTATCTATCCAAGTCTTAAAACTAGGCTAGATTATTGAAGACAAGGGTGTGTCTCAGCTAATATTAAGAATCTGGTCCTCTGTACTTATAGTTTTGAAGATCACTTTTAGGGTTAGCATGTTCTTCTGCTTTTTTCTGATCGTTGAACTGTGTAAGCAAATATCAGAATACTCAAGGCAGCTATTAAAGACTATATTTCTGAAAATATGAATTAATATTAATTTCATTTTTCTAGAAAAAAATTTATATAGAAATTGGAAAATAGAAATCTGACCTTAAATGCTCATATATATTTTATGTTATTGTCAACATATTCATTTTCCAGGATGAGGATGGGCTGCAAAATGGAGAGGCTTAAATTATAAAGGTGCATGAGGTGTAAACTAATGTGTTCTGACATTTCTCACAATATCTTCTCTCTTGGTAAACTCGGCAGAGACATTGTGCTGTCCCCAAGGAGGTGAAACACTGGCATATTTGTGTAATAGATGCTGCTTAATACATTTTTCAATTTGAATATACAAGGTGTCAAAGAGAATATGCTAAGTTTTACCTGCTAAGTCTTTGTAATCCACCAAGTCAAACATTACAATAGCTACTGCTGACCAGGTAACAATCAGAGCAACCACAAGAAGCCATGCTGCTGGAGAGCTGAACGTTGTCACGAGGTCTTCTGTCACTGACTTCTTGCCCACTTTCATGGATGACGAAGGAACGGAGCCGTTCTTACCATCGATTATCGTCGTGGTTGTAGACATGTGTCCTATACAAACACAGAAAACAGAGGAAAACAGAGTAACAACTGGGAGCCTTAAAGCCAAGAATATGAGTGCTCTTTTGAAATTGTTTTGTCATCAGAATGTCTAAAATAAATATAAATATTGTATTACTAAAAAAAGGTTCTTGGACTTTCTGGAAGAAATAGTCACAACCAGCCTTTTTTATTATATGACAAGTTTGAGTCTGCCACAAATAGCTACAGGCCTAGGACAGTGTGATTGATGAAAGCATAAAATATTATTACCCTCCAAAGAATTGTCTTGTTAAGGGCTGTAGGCCAGATTCTCAGGTGATGTGATTAAGTGAACTTCCATTGACTTTAATGGAGCTAATGCATCTATGCCACTTGAGGTTTGGCTGGAATTCTGCTGTGAAGGACATGTATCAGTAGCAATAGAAACAGATACACTTCATTTCATCTAACATAAACACAAATGATTTCCACATCCAGGATCCTTATAAGTTGTGAATAAAATTGTAGCTGATTTTAAAATACCTTTGCTTGTGGAATTTTTCACTTAATGAAATACTCTCCTAAGAAACAAGAGTTATGATGGCAAAGCAGACTTGATCGCAGAAAGCAAAGGATTGGTAATAAAAAGCTGGTAGGAAGTTGAATGTTACTTAACTAAGTGACCAGCTGACATTCATTAACTATGTAATCGACAGTAACAGTACTGACTTAATACTTCCTGAGGTACTAAAAATGCTAATTCTGGACATAAACGTTAATTCTGCACACAAACCAAAACTATGGTAACTGAAACCTAACTGTATCTGAAAGTTCTCAACTTAATCTGCTTCATAAAATGCATTTTGATAACCTAAACATCTAAGGAGGTACATTTTTTTCCATCATATACAATAAAAAATAATAAAAGTATTCTGAACATAGTAATTCTGAACATTTGAACTACAGTTCAAACTAATAGAAGACCACAGTATCTCCACTTAGTTTGCAATATCTTCATGCATGTTACAGTTAAAATCTTCATAGATATATTAAATGTGTTCTTGGTCTGGTTGTTGGCATTGTTGGCACCAACTTGCATAAATTAATTTGAGTGATTTAAGGCACCCTTGCCCACACAGACATCTAAAATTTCAAGGAATCACGTGACACCTAGTTTGTGCAGATCTTTGCTTTTTGCTAGTCTTATGTCACAGTTGATACAACCTATAAAAATGATATTTTCTGTGTGACAGAGTTGCTCTATGTGAAGGTAAGCAGATTTAATTTCACTTTTGACATAGGAAATGACAAACAGAGGCTAAAAATTTTTGCTGGAGCTAAGGTACAGGCTGTTGAAGACTTTCCAACATTTACCATCACAAGCTGTATTTAGATGCTCTTTGAGAACCACAATCTTTATATTCTTAAAGAAATAAATGAAGAAAGGATAGAATCATTAATATTACCATACGTACATACATTTTCCTTCCTATTTTGCACAAACAAATCTTCCGATCTTTATGCTAATGAGTACTGGATATGTTCCTTTCCTGTAGAATGTTAAAACAATATCCTAAAGTGATACTGAAATGCCCCTCTGTGTATGTGACCAAAACATATAAAATTTGGAAGGACAATTTTGGTGGAAGAAGTTCCCTAATTCTTAATCTGTCATATATGTTGAGTTTTCAAATGCATACCCTAATCAGTTCTAGAATTGTTTTTTAAATTTTATTAGATAGTGCATTGTATTAATGAGTAGTTGCCTTAGCTCTGCCTTTTAATTTTGCTTCTGCACAAGTATCTTGGTGCTGATGAGTGCCTTGCTTCAAGCCCTGAAAAACTGCTCTGCTGCACAGCAGAGTTGTAAAAGCAAAACAAGATTGGCATATTACATGGTTTTTGTTACTCATTTGAAATTTATTCTTATTTATAGAATATTTATTCTGCTTATAAATAATGTCTATTTTCTAGGATAGAACATATATACATTTTTAAAAAACATTATAAAACCATGACTGCTTCCATTTCTCCAAACAAAAATTTTAGATCAAACAATTCACAGCAGGAGAAAAAAATCTGCCAAGTGACAACTAAGAATAAAGATCAGCTTTCTAAGTCAAATTCAAAATCAATAGCATTTTGTTATCCTACTGCATACACGATGCAAGTAATTTGTGCATGTAACAGGTCATAAATGACACATTATGCATTTTTTCCCCTTGGGGATATCAGTCAGAGTTTATGATGTGTAAGAGAGAATAGAAAGGTACTGTCTCATCTTGACAAATGTGATTAGTACCACAGCATGTCTTCAAGGACATCCTAGTGGCAGATATTTGCAGTTATAATACAAACAATTAAAACTCTATGTGTGTATACAAATGTAAACTTATAATTACCAGTCACTCAGACTACTGTGTCTTTGGTGAAGAAAAGAGTAACTGATGATTTATCAATCAGAGCAATGCCGCAGAGACAGAGCTCAAGTATCCTAGAAGGTTATCTATGGCAAGCTTTTGGCTGTTGATGTAGTCAAGTCAGATTTCCCTTTAAAAACTCAGGATGTTATACAATAAAATAGCTGTCATTGCATTCATTAAAGTGTAAATGAACAGCTATTGATTCAAATTTGACTGCAAGTCAAGCTAGGAAAATACTGTTATATGCTGGAAGTTCCTGAAACAGGTGCTTGCAGTGTGATTCAGGGGCCTGAGATCTCCAATGTTTTTTTAAATGCTTTACATCATCAAAGACATCCTCGCAGGACTGGCAGGCAAAATCTACAGGACACTAACTTTGGAACTGCCTAAAAAAAAAACCCAGACAGGATGTCCTAAAGGAAATAGAAATTAGATTTTTGTGTCCCTAGATCCATATAAACAAAACTGACTGGAGAGTTTTGTCTGATGACTTCTGAGAAAGACGTTGTTTGCTGCTACATAATCTCATGTAGGGTGGATTGTATATTGATACCATCATCACTGATGTATATTGATAATCACAATGTATATTGATACCATCATGACTCCAAAATGAAGAAGCAGTAACACTGAGATGATCTCCCTCTCTCCACAAGCATTCTACTATTGTAGTACCCAAGGTGTTATCCTCATGCTTTTCTTCTGGCTCATTCTTGCTTTTAGGTGTCTGGGTGCTCTGTTCATTTCTGTCCACATTCCACCAGTTCTAACTTTCTCTGCAAACCTTCAGTGATAATATTTATGAAGCTAGACAACAGAGAAAAAGGGGATGCAAATGCAAGGTTTTCATCAGTTCAGGCAGCAGTGATTCTCCTTTTTCTCAGAAAAGTGCCAAAGTTAGGCAGAACTCCTGCTCAAGTGGTCAGTGGGAATTCGGGTGCATAGTGGGGGACTGAGAAAGACAGGCATTTTTGTTGCTTTGAAATCACCTGATAGAGCCTATTGAGTCCTACATTTACAATTAGCAGAGGTTGTTCAGCAGCACGTTAAAATCTAATTGCTGAAATTTCCTAGGTATCCTTGCCGTCCATACAATAAACATTTTCTCTCTAAAGACAAATTTCTGTGTCCATATTACAGCCAGCCTGAACCCAAGTCAGTTTACCGCTGATGAGTGCTGCAGTGGATCAGGAGATTCATGAGCAGATCAGTTGTCCCTGCTCTGGGAGAGGCAACATCCATCACAGGAGTGGAGGGTGCAGTTGAAGGCTGCTACAATTTCAGCCATCCAATTTTAATCCACTGCCACATGTCTGCTAGAGCCTCTTGGCACTTTGGGTTGTGATTGGTATTGATTTTCAATGAGGATGGGAACTTAAAAAAGTTATATATATGCATTTCTATAAAAAGATTACTCCAGGGATATATGCCTCTGACTGCACATCACAATTTCTCATGCACACAGGACTGCCCCATCAGGTCGCAAATGTCACCTTTACATCAACAGATTGATTTGCTAAATTCCGAACAGCTAATACTCTGAGATTCTTACTATTCCTCTGGTTTCAGAGTTGTCACTTAGAATACAATCTGAAGACCCATAAGGTCTCGTAAGTATAAATAAACCTTGACAATTGGTGACAACTTTGAGGAGAACACCGTGTGACTTTCAGAATCCAGAGTGAGCTTGTAGTCCTGGCAGCTTAGGTAAAATACTCTTTGTATTTGTGGGCTGAGGCATTATCTCCTTGAAACTTAGTAAGCTTAGGAGTCCATGGTTCAGGATGAGGACTTGATTTTACAGTTCAACTGCTACATCTTCTACTGCTCTAGTAGAAAAATGAAACAAAACAAAACTAAACATCCAAAATGAATAAATAAACTGATTCTGCTCAGACTCATTCAGGTGAAAAGAGTAATTTTCTGTATTTATGTCACTTCATAACTATTTTATGTACAACAATCTTATTCTGCTAAAAGGACAAAAAAAATTAAATAAAATATTTAATGTGAAATGCCTTTTAAAGGCTAGGCATATTAAAAGCAGAGGGCTAGTTACAATACTAAAAAAAAAAAAAAGAGATTGTTCACTTTTAAATAATAATATTGTTGCTAGGGCAATGCAGTTGAGAAACCTCAGTGCAGTGTGCTCTAAATGAGAGAGCTGGTAGATTTTGCCATGTCTGTTGCACTCCCCAGATGAGCACTCCAGTAAATAAGCTATAGAGTATTCTGGATTCAGGTCATTAATGGCTTCTGTTTGACCTATTCCACTTCACTTGGAATATTTAAATACTAATTAAGGAAGCAGGAGAGAGAAAAAATGGTTGTAAAAATAGACACTGGATGTTAAGCACCAGCTCAAGCCTCGGACTTTAACCTGGTGACCTTATCAACCCAGCACTGTTGGGATCAGGCAGGCAGGAGTCTCAGCCTACAGTAAGCAGGGTACCACAGGGAAAAGAGGACAAGGGATTAGAACCCTTCAGTGAAGAGGTGGGCAATGGATATAAAATAATCTGCTGCATTTTTTTCAAGCTCAGCACATCATCCTTAGTGAGTCCATAGACTTGCAGGCATCACTCTTTCCCCATGTGAGGAAAAAGA